ACCATTCCTCCATCGAAAATAGGAGGATCTGTTTTGGAATCTTCAAGAAAAGATGGATAGAGGGGATCAGAGAAACATTGGACAAAAACAATATCACCAAACCCCAAAAGAAAACTTTACCCTCGGAGACAGCCATATAAACGGTTAAAATATAGACAGAAACACACGATTTCAGAGACGCACTTGGTCACCATATATGGATTTAAGGTGGCAATTTTACACATAAAAATTTGAAGTTTGAAGTAAGTTGGAGCACAATATGCTCCATAGGGCGTCCGTTTCGAGCGATACACGCTCTGGGGCACTGGACGAAATTGGTCGCTTATAAGGACAAGCTGGAGTCAAGGGCAATGAGCGGGCTGATGAGCTCGCTGGGACAGCAAAACCAGAAGGGAAGCAAGCTGTGCCCTGACAAACATGAAATTGTACGTTCAGTCAAGGAAAAAAGAGAAAAAGAACAAGAAGAGACGGAACACCATCATCTTGAGCGACTTCGTGAGCTTGAAATTGGATGGGCGTCTGCAGAAGTTCAAGACTTAGTGGGAGGAGCAGAAGGCTATGGAATCAACCATTGCTTTGAACCGTCAGCACCTACACACTTCGAGATGTGCTTGTTCAGGGGACAGAGCGCTTATGGGAATGCCCCTTGTGCAGTGATGTCGGTCCTTCACACAAGTAAACAAGTAAACAAGTAAGGACAAGCGGGCTAACCCAGATTTCGGGGGTTTCCAGAAATCTTGACCTACACCAAATGTGCGCATTACCCGACCTATAGGAGAAGTTTGGTTTCATTGGTGTGTATATTTGTTTGATTATAGAAAAAAAACTCTCCTTGTCTTTTAAAGAAACTGAATAAGGTTCCAAAAACTTTACCTTCGATTTTCTCAAAGCAGCATTTTTCGAGGTAGCCCCTTTGTGCTTAAAAGCGACCATTTATCTGTGACTTTTTTCATTTGCTGAACCTTTGATGTACCTGCTTCCTGTGCGGTTTCAACTTCAGATCGTACTTCAACATGCGCCGAACAGATTCTCTTGCAATAGTTTTGGGAACATACAAAAGAAGTAGAGGAAAATGACAATAGTAAGGATCAGGAAAGAAAAAGCAGCAGTTCCCTGTTGTAGATCAGTCAGTTATGAGCGTGACATGAGGTGACAAAGTTAAGGTTCATAAGACGCATACAACAAGTGATACAACAAACGTGAGAATAGCATTTGTGAGGTATCGTAGTGAAATCAGGCGGTCGTCAAAATTATGAAATTGAAGAAACTAGCATTTTTCTGCCAGTTTAAAAATTTTTAAAGAATTTTTGTTTTTTGGCTTAACACCATTGTTATCAAATTAAGAACTCATTTCCGGGTGGATTTTACTGAAAAACGTTGATTAAAAGAACCCCAAAAATGTAAGTTATCAGTTTCCACGGACTATCACACTATGGCGGCCATTTTCTCGCTAATTCTACTTTTGAGACCAGGTGACCCCACCTTCTTCAATCTCAAATATCTTGACATTTATTCAAGATAGATGGGCATTTTTTTTCTCCAATAGCAAGACAACCGAACAAGTTTTAAGATGATACCAACAACTCCACATGTCCAAACATTGACGGTGGGTGGTTGGCGGGTGCTCTGGTGTGGTTTGCTCCTTTTTTCCTATCGAACATCCATAATCTTTATCCCCCCTTCTTCTTTTTTATGTTTGTTACTCTCTTGTAACACATTTAATCTTCTGGTGCTCATATGACCTTATGCAGTTGCGAGCGCCGCAAAACCTCTACTAAAACTTTAAAACACTGACGAGCGCCTGATTCCACCGCGTTGTGACATATTTTACTTCTCCCCTCGACATCGCAATGTAACAGAGAGGCCGGGAAAAGTAAGTGCGTGCAGAGTAAGTTAAGTAGCTTGTTAAGTATCCGTTTTGGGGCTTTTCGGTGAAACCACGCTTGAAGATGTCTGCTCCGTTATAATACATGCTCCTCTTCATCCTTTCCTGTGCACGGACACTTTCAAACGTTTGTTGAGGACATGAGAGTGAGAGTGATAGCACTTTGCTACATTTTTGCGCGACACAGACTCGGTGTGCGTTTGTGTGTGTGTTTGTGTGTGTGTGTGTGTGTGTGTGTGCTTGTGTGTGTGTTTGTGTGTGTGTTTGTGTGTATGTGAACGTGAGTTTGTGTGTGAGCATAAGTATGGATGTGTTTGTGTGTGTGTATGAGAGAGAGAGAGAGAGAGAGATAGAGGGAGAGG